AGAGCAGCCCGTGCCTCAACATCTACGGTGATCCATAAGTCTGCTATTACGGATCACATGGTAGTAAACAATCATTTACCAGATTGGCACAATACAAAGATCTTGGGGAAGGATATTCTTCCAGAGTACAACGCACCATCAAAGAGGCCATCTGGATCAGAAGGAATAACAACACCATGAACAGGGACGAAGGAGCATACGAGCTATCACACATCTATGATGACCTCCTACACCAACGGACAGAACCCGGGGGGGCCCCCGGAGAAAACCTCATAACAACACAGAGGGCGCACGTCATCGGAGAAGATCTACCGATGGTACGAACTAGCTTAGTCTAGTTCATTCACCTGATGATGACCTTTGATAAAGGTCGAAACCGTTGTGGTACGTAATTTACGTTGTTTTGGCTTAGTTTAAAAAGAAAAAAAGAAAATTACACTCTAAATAATAATAATAATAATAATAATAATAATAATAATAATAATAATAATAATAATAATAATAATAATAATAATAATAATAATAATAATAGTCAATTTATATAGCGCATAATGTAAAATACCTCTATGCGCTTTACAGCAGGGAGTGGGATAAATTATTAAAAAATTCACCTAAAAAATAATGAATAATAAATATAAATATGTTAATAAATAAATAATTTGAAAATACAGAAATTTATTTATATTTTTACATCTATCTAATTGTTAAATATTTATTTTCTTAGTCGTAATACCTTACTTACCTTTTACATTTTTTCCATTTCGTTTCTTCCTTTTACCTTTATTTTCTTTGATACTTAGGACCTCTCTTTTTCCTTTATACTTCCCTGTAATTTCTTTCTTTAGGCCTACCTTTTCTTCCCCTACCCCCATTTCCTCCTTTCATTTTGCTACCTCTATTCATGTTTTCCCTTTCCTTTTCTTACCTTATATTTTCCTTTTCCTTCCTTTCCACATTTCTTATTCTTTCCTTTCTCTTTCCTTTACCATTTCCTTTTCTTTTCCTTTTACCTTATCCTTCTATATCCTCAGATTTCTTGCTTTTTTCCCCTTAACACTTTCCTTTCGTCTTTCTTTATCTTCCTTTCGTTTCCTTTTCATTTCCTTTCCTTTTTCTTTTTAAAATTTCATTTAAGGTATGGGCGGTGCAGCCAGTGTAAAGCACTAGGGCCCGGTGCTATTGGGAGCCGGTTCTAAGGCCACAAATCTAAAAATATAAGTTGGAAAATTCCTACTTACTTATTCCTACTTATAAATTTAAAAAGGACCACTCAGTGATATTAGGTTTCAGAGGCCAGTATTAATGATTAAGTTCATTACATACCTAACTGCAAGTAGGGTGAAGTTTAAATTATTTAAAAAAAAAAAAAAAAAAAAAAAAAAAAAAAAGCCATGAACAGCGTCGTATCTTGAATTCATCTAAGGCTATTTTCTTTCATCAGGTATAAGATGCTTCATTCCATTCCAAAAATACTTTTGAAACCATATTTCTAAAAAGCAATTCAAATATCGGCACGCAGGTCTTTCTTTGAAATGTTAAAGTTTGCTCAATTATTGTTCACGTTTTTTAATCAGGTCAGGTGATCATACTTCATGAATACTGGATGATCGTTGTATTGTTGTCAATATCATACATTACTAGGGACTCATGAAATGCCCAATAGGCCCTTACGAAATAAAATATTATATAACTTGACCACATGTTGTTTTCAATACCCTTGAATATGTTTTCCTCAATCTTTTATAGATAGGCCTATTTCTGCGCGTTGAAGGTCGTATCTCTTGAAAAAATTCAGAATGAAGGCCTGTAGAATTAAGTTCGCCTCATTTCATTTATTTATTCGACCAATACACATTTACAAAAGGTACAGTACAACAAGAGGACCCCGCCAAGTCTGTCTCTAGGTCAAATCAGGTGTATTTTACAACACTTAAAAGGACCCCGAATAAATGTACTCTAGACTCTGGTAAAAAGAAAATTTGCATCCATCTCACATTATAGTGACCAGACCAATGCCTGACGTATCCATGGGAAGCCGCGGCTCCCACCCCCACCCCCACCCCCCACTTTGTACACAGTGTTAACATTTTAAAGCTTGTTTTTGATAGCCAATCCAAATTCTTTCCTGGGATCATTCACAATGAATAGTCCTACTTCTTAAATATATAAGGATGCATCAGCAAACGTTATACATAATATAGTACACATAAACCTAAGCGTGATTTTAAAATTAATGGTTGCCGAAAATCTCTGATAAAAGATCATGAAAAATTTGTTGGCGCCTAATGGTGATGTGATGATGTTTCAGTTTGGTTTTTATCTTTTTGCAAGCTTTTATAAAGTTTTGTTTATAATAATAATAGTGATGATGAAGATGGTGATATTGATAATAGAAAATAATATCAAAAACATTAAAAAGTGAAGAAAATTGTGCTAAAGGTGAAAAAGAAAGCTGTGATTTGTTGATCATAATTATTATAAATAGCTAAAGCTTTAAGCTATAGTTAAGCCTAGTTGTCCTGAGATCCATGATAAAATATCATGCGAAGTTTGTTGGCGCTCCATTTTGACTATATAATGGTAATGTGATGATGATGAATTTTACAATATAAAAGTGTCATTTCCGGCCATCTAGAGGCACTATTTCCTAAAATTTTCTCACCTCAGCTCCCAACCATGGTGGGGCCGAGGTGGTTATCACGGCTATGAAGTATGTGAAGTACGGTACATACCCAAAGCTTTATTTTCTATAGTACAACACACATATTAATGGTTGCCGAAAATCTCTGATAAAAGATCATGAGAAATTTGTTGGCGCTTCATTTTGACTATATATAGGCCTAATGGTGATGTGATGATCATGAATTTACTAAAAGTGTCATTTCTGACCACATAGAGGTACCATTTTCTCAAATTTTCGTACCTCAGCCCCAACCATGGTGGGTCTGAGGTAGGTGTCGACTCATGAAATGTCCTGGATCCGCCACTGTTGAGTTATTATATAATTAATTTTAGACTTACTAATATTATTTATGATGCGTCTCAATTTCACTTTATCCTCTCAAAACAGTCCTAAAACGTTCAGAGTGCGCTGCTTCCCAGAGGGCTTCGCCCATGGACCCACCGGGGTCCTACACACCTCTCGCATAACGGCTCCCTCCCTTTCAAAATCCTGGCTACGTCCCTGTCGACAGTTTGTCTAATGGGTCCACAAATAATGGGTCCACATTTTTAAAAATGGGTTCAAATGATGTAATTTTATGCATAAAATGGGTCCACTTTTTGAAAAATGCGTCCAGTTCTCATATTTAGCTAAAAATGGGTAAAATTTAAGAAAGAGGGTCCAGATTTTTCATATTTTTGCGCAAAAGGGGCCCACATTTGTTTGAATTTACGCGTAAAGTCCACCCCGGTATTATCCCGCACTGTTTGAAAATCCTGGCTAGGGCATTTGTTGGTCACGTGGGCCCTGATTTTCATTATACCAATCAGGAATCGGCCGTACAATTTTCACTATGGTATTCGCATGGCATTGTATTGGTAATGATGTGTCGCACGTGCTTATATTACACAAGGGTGTTGCTTTTATGATGAAGTCTAAGTTGGAAGACGGAGAGGTTATTCGATGATGGACGTAAATGAATTTGATAGCAAGTATCGAAGGGACACTATATACTTAGAGCGTTTGGATGGACGCCAGAAACAAAATGAATCAGGGTGACATTTCATAACCATAGGCCTAATAACAAATCGAATGTTATTGTAACAGTTTTAATTTAAAAATAGCAGGTTTCTTTCCATAAAAGCAATTTTGAACAATTGTAAAGGAATGGCACTAAATTCGTTATTACATACCATACATCATTGTTCACTACTCCAGCACCACGTAAGCCTGTGTTGCAAGATGCTCCGCCCTGCTGTTATTTTTCCAATTACGTTAATGACGAAACCTGTAGCGCCCCATTCGAAGTTCAGCATTACACAATCGGATTACCGTTATGTTGGCAGATTAGATCGATGCTAGGTGCCTGTCTATTTTATTTTGAACTCACTATCCGAAGATATAGGTAACAAGACATTCATTTACATTGTGTCTGTCAACTTTTGTGAATGTTCAGAGCAATTGTGTTCCATTGTAATTTCCGAAAGAACAAATAAAATATGATTTTGATTCTGATTCTGATTCTGATTTTCTCGATGAGCAAAGCATAGCTATAGAATCAGTTACGGCATCCTTAACGTTTTATCATTCCCCATTTCAAATTTACAATTTTATGAACCTAGGCCTATGTGTGTGATTCGTTTGGTCTTTATTTGTTGTCAAGGTGGGTAGTTATTTTGTAAGATCAATTCATAAACCGATAATCTCGAAAGAGCCCATGGACTACCATTCAGCGAATAGCAAGGCCACTTTAGGAATTTGCCATTTATAATATCTACCTAATAACATCTCTCTTGAAAAGTCAGTGTTATAAATATATTTTAAGCATAACAATTTTAATGGTGAATAAATTAATAATGTGTTTGTTATCAGAAACTCATTCAGCCTATTTCCTGTTTTACTGTACATTATAATTTTCTGTTTTAGTGTACTGTAGTTTTTTTTTCAAATATAAAATAGCTTACCCTGTTGTAGAATGGTACACACCGCGGATATTTTGATAAGCTGTGCTCACGGAACTAGCTGAGAACTGTAATTGTGACTGCTCTCTGGTACTATCACTAGAGATTTCAATTACTGTACTGTACTGTCAAAAGAAAATGAATGACGTCACTAGTAGTATAATTATCACTGTTGTTCACTTAAGTGAACAACAGTGCAGCCTCCACATTGTTAATTTTCTATTTGATTTTCAGACTAAAACGTAATAAGCATGGGTACTTTTCTTGGACATATATCTTCAGGGAGCATGTTCATTGCTTTGAGTATTTTTTGGATTATGAAGCAATCGTACCACCTAGTAGCAACGAGAAATCTAACTCGTCAGAACAGCTGGCTAAATATACCCTTCTTCAGACTGATATTGAATTTCCCATTAGAAGGCGCAGCGATCATGATCTTCACTACTGGAGGTTTCATTGGCGAAAACGTACACCCACATTGGAAATGGAAGATGTTCGTGAATGGAAAGTTTGTCTATACTAACGTCTGGATACATTGCACTATCTGGACAACTTTCTGGATATACGGATTCGTAAAGGTCCTCACAAAGAATTACATGAAAGACGCCATCACCTGGGTTCCAGTTTTTCGAACCTTTACGTACTTCATCCAGTGCACTTTGTTCTATTTCCATCTCGGAGCTCATCACGTCATTACGTCAGAAACTGGTCAGTCGCAAAATGGTACTCAAATCCATCATGGTGGACGAAGCCTTATGAATGTGAAAATGCATATAATGGCAGTTATTGCAACGTTCCTTAGTCTCATGTTCAGTGCTGGTGAGATATGGCTGAAAAAAGACAAGATAATACCATGGCTCCGAATCTGGGCATCTTTACTTAATGGTACTTGGTTGGTTCAGATAGCTTTCACGTTGTTTCCGTTAAAAGAAATCAACAAATGGGACGAAGACAACCATCAGAATGCTAAGTTTGTCGTTATGCTTTTTGGATGGCATTGTATGCTAACTATAATAACGACGTTTGTTTTACACATGGTATTTACTATTTTCATTAGAACAGCATTTAAGTCGGTTAGTCGGTTAGACATTTTAGCCGAGAAATCCAAGACGTTGAAAACTGATGGAAACATTTCTTACGATTCTGACTGAAAAAAAACCCAAAAACATTATGATTTTATTCATAAAGTAATGTAAATGAGTGCAAGTTAACATACACTGAGCATATATGAAACAGCATACATTAATAAAAAAAAAAGAATCTGATGACATTTTTGATATGTATTGTTCAACTTAATGAAGTTCTAACCGTTTATTTTCGTTTAGTAAAGCGTAATCAATGTATCACTATGATATTCGCATTATTCAGGTACTCTAAAAACATTTATTTTAAAGAAATTACATATAAATCATGAATTAATAAATTTGTTTCGATTTTCGTTGCTGTAACATAGGTTCATCCTATACATTTAGTACTGATGTAAGTGGGAAATTTTAGACAAAAGTTATTGCTCTAATTCAAATATTTTTTAAAATCTTAGTATGTTATCATTTTTTCACTGTGGGTTTTTGATGTGTTGAATTGTATTTTGATGCTTTTAAATGTCCCGAATTTCGATTAAACTTTTTTAATGTATGTTATTATATGGAGTACTGATTTTTTGTTTTGTTTTTGTAAATTTCTCTTAATTTTTAAAAATTCTATAATGTGCCCGTGAACATTTAAATCTTAAAAATGCCTTGCATATTTTATAATGGTGTCCTATTCTACTGCTGGGTTAAAAAAAAATGATCATCATAATCATATCATAATATAAGGACGCGAACACACTCTTCCTTAATTTAACCATGGTGGTACTGGTCCGGTGTTATGGCTATTAGGTGGGTAAAGCCGAGCTCATTATAACAATTGAGGTCAGCATACGGTCGCATGATACAGAATGCAACTCCTTAGAAAATTATTTTATTTTCTTGTTTAAAAATTGAGATAATTATGTGCTAAAATCCTCTTAATGTATATTATTATATGGAGTACTTTTTATTTACTTATTTTTTAAATTTTCTATTTTTTTAAATTCTATAAAGTACCCATGAACATTTTAAATCTTAAAAATGCATTGCACAATGGTGTCCTCTTCTGCAGTTTTAAAAATTTTCCGCCAACAAAGTGTAATGATTATATAATCATGTACATCCGGTGAAGTCCTGTTTTAAAATAGGTCTTAAAAAGCAGGCATGTTGTTCTATTACCTACCAAGCATTTTCTTGGACGTGAGAAGAGTTCATTAATTACACTCGTCCCTGATTATACCAAAAAATACTGTAATAAATTACAGTTTTTTTTCAGTTGCTACCTTGATATCGATAATGAGAGAGTTCCATGATTGTAAAAAAAAGTCATTTATTTAATTATTACCGCGACTGTACGTACGCACAACATTCGATATTCATAGATGACACTGTGTGTGCGCCAGGTCTGGGGCTTATTTTTTTCACATTACCGATCATTTACTACAATAATAGGGATATTTTCTTTAAATTTCCCTACTACACTGGAGCTAATGAGGACTAAGGTGGGCAGCGCCGGCCAGCTCCGTAGCTAGAATGATTGATAAGAGAGCGGGGAAAATTACAATTATTTGAGGGGCCAAGTACTAGAAGAGCCACACCCACCTCAGTCCCGCTATATTCGGAGCTGAACTTCAAAATAGCTCTCAGACTTTTTTAAATCATCTTTTTCAAATTTGAAAGTATTGCTGACGAAAATAAACAGTGACAGCATTTTAAATATGAGCGTTTATTTTGAAAGTGGTATACTGATGTTTGTACAGCAACGTATGCAAGGAGGATGGGAATGTACTGGCAAGATTATAGGCCTACCAATGAGGACTGGAATATGACTTATTAATAGATACAGCAGATATTCATGAATTATCTATAAATTAAAACATCCCAGGAATATCATAGAGAGCAGTTGACTTTACATAATATTAACCCTCCCAAAAGCTATTTCATAGTCTAGGTTTGGGAGCCAGAATATTTATGAAAATGAATATGTATCTAGTCGAGGATGTATTAGGGATATATTGCTTCTAAATAAATAAAGTATTTGTTGTTTATATGTTTTTTATTTTTTCTATACTCAATCATCACAAGTTTTTGTATAAAATATCTGCTACTGTAACACAATTTAGTAATCGACTACTTTAAACACTGTAATTCGATTTTAATTTGCTGTTACTGCAATATACAATTGTTATGTTTTAGTCTCGGTCATGCTAATATACGGAATATTATTAAATAAATAAACA